TGGATAATTGTAGAGGACAATCTTATGAAACGCTGCCAATATGGCAGGTCACTACATTGGTGTTCAAGCACTACTAAAACAAAAAAATAAATCCGCGGATTATGTGCCAAGTGCTGCGCATTCCCTTATCCTAATTGGTGAAGAATCTGTTAAGGTTGCGACCGAAATTGCGAACTTTTTTGGAGTAGTGCAAAAAAAATACGTTTTCCTTTCTACTTCGACCCATAGGTGGGAACTGTTAAATCGTGAAACAAAACTCAAATTTACGATAAAAAGTTTAAGCCAGACCAGATGATCTTGTCACTGTGATACTGCCAAAGCTTTGAAAAATAATTATGATAACATTATGAATGAAAAATAATTATGATAACATTATGAAAATTTTCGAAAGTTTCGGCGAAAATGAGAATGAGAAAGTTGATTTCCGGAAAGAGGCACGAAATTTATTCAATAAAATGGCAAAACTCGATACTACAATTTTGATTATTTTTTGGAGGAAATTTTGGGGAGATTTAATTTAGTTAATAAAAAAATACAGAACCCTGGATTAGATATTTGTGAAGGCAACAAGTTAATTGTGTCATTAAAAGACTTCGTGAACAACATAAGGCACCAATCAGATAAGAAACTAAAGGAATGCGAAGAGAAAGCTAAAAAATTAAGTACTAATGTGGGAATAGACTACAATGACATAAACAAGAGACGCATTACTCCAAAATTTTCAGATAAATCTACAGATAAATTCTCAGCATATGGGGCAGAAAAAATTAAAAGAGGCACGCTAAACGTTGCGTTGGATAAGCTGATTATGGATTTAAATAAAAGGAGCCAAGTCCATGAGATGTATAGGAAGAAATTCAAATTTTTAATGGATTTGCAAGACAAAAATATCGAAAACATAGATCTGGAAAGTGTACGTAATATTGTTGATTATTATCCAGATGACGTAGACGAGCATTTAGTGAAGGAGTGATGAACTTACAATGTGATGAGCAAATAAAGGAATTTGCAGCACAAAATTGCAGAAAGGTTGCTTTATAATTTATATAACATAACTACACATAACCTGTCTATTTCTTTTGCAATAATGTTGCACAGTTGCTGTTTGTATACACAAATACAAATAAATAAATAAAATTATTTTATCGTCCTAATTTTTTCAATATACTTATCTATATCACTATAGAAAACCGTTTTTTTGACAAAATGGCTATTAGGGCCTCTAAGTAGTTTCAGCCCAGGGCCCCTTAAATTCACGATCCGCCCATGATTGTTGCAATATCTGTTCATTGTCATATATCTAAACAAATGTTGTTGTAACCCGAAGGTGACGTCTTTGAAAGCTAAGACCGCAAATTATATCATGTTTACGAGACATGGGATTTCAGCGAAACTGAACGAAAATTATTGCCAAACCATGAGGTTTCTGATTTCTCTTCTTAAACATGACTATTTCCTATTAATTCCAGAAGTGAGCGGCCTATTCTTCTTTTGTATCCTTATTGTTTCATCATCGTCTTTAATAGATTTCGTCAAAACGAAACATTTAAATCGATTTTGTTGGGAACATTTTCATTCTTTATATGACTCCTTCCTATTATTTCTAAAAATAAAAAAAAATAGCGGCCTCTTCTTCTATTGTGAATTGATTGTTTTATTTTTGTCTATAATAGATCACGCCAAGACGAAACTTTTAAAACAATGTCGTTGAAGAACATTTTCTTTTTTTACATGAAAACAATGTAATTGATTGTTTCATCTTTCTCTATAATAGATTATGTCAACACAAATCATCCCTTTTTTTCCATCCATTATATATATTTTTACATGACTGCTTCCTATTATTTATAATAGAGAGCGGCATCATCTGTGTTATAAATTATATAGGGTATTCCAAATTTCGATTTACAAATTCAGAAGTGTGATTAAAAGGATCAAACCACGTTGAGAGATTGAAAATTGCAAAAAAAAAAAAGTCATAGAGGCTCTAAATCCAGAAGAGACGAAAGATGGAGGATCGTCGCTTCAACAAACATCAAAAGCACTTCAATGGCATCTTCGAACGAGGTCCGGATAAATTTTTTCCTCGGTGACATAAACGAGTGCTTTTTTAAACAAATCTTATGGTAATTAAATAAACAAATCTTTTTGTAGTTAGCAAGTTTGTATTATGTTTCGTAGTTGACTTCTAGCATGATGACAAAACCTTCGTGGATTTTTTGTGATTTTCATCCTTTCATCGTCGCTTACGAACTATGATAAGTTTTTAGCCTTTAATCACTCCTTTAAATTTGACGGTTGAATTTTGGAACACACTGCTTAACCTAAAATCCTATTCTATCATTATGTATCCTAAATAGAAGGAAGTAATGTCCGCACTAGTTAGAATAAATATCGATATTCTTCTTTTATGAAAAATATTCCCTACTCATCAAGTAAGAAGAACATTATCCTATTATATTTCAAAAATTGAGTTTTTATCAAGAAAACATAATTATAAATAATATCATTCTGATGCTTTACCTCTTACAAATAACAACTGGTAGACGCATCAAAATTAAAAATTTAGAAGAATATATTACAAATGATATATGTGTTTGTCTATAAGTAAATAAAAATTAACTACTTGTCTCCGATTACTGGAAATGACTATTTACTTACTCTCTTACTTTTTCTTTGTCTGAACACTACGAGTTGAATTCGCAGAAGCTTACAAGTAAGCAGAACCCACCGGCACTCAGCTTCCTACATGGGCAACGAAAGCTGTGATGGGTCAAGAAAATGACTTTATCGCATTAGGAGGAACTGATGTTTCAGCTCAGATTCCTCCCTACATTCGCGAATTCATCCTTTTTTTCTCTCTTTTTTTTTCTGGGTGAAGTAGGTTAAACAATGTGTGCCTGCATTTTCCCCGAAACAGGTACTGGAGACAAAATTGTTTTCTATTTTAGAATTCGGAAATATTTTATTTTTCATTTTTTTCCGCATGCAGATGTCTACAAATGTTTCACTTAGGATAAATTAGGAAAAAAACTATTGTAATAGATGCCAGGCAATGGTTCTTAATAATGGTGATACCAATCAATTATAAAACAGATAGGGTCTTCAAAAAATACATCAGTGTAGAGAATACTAGGTAAAGTGTAAATTGGGAAATGACCTTCAACGACGATTTATAAAGGGAATACCGAGCAAGTGTAAACCGAGCAATTGCTCTATGCCTTAACGAAACAATATATAGAGATTACCAAAATAATTAAACTGCGCAGTTGCCCACTCATTCCTGCTAAGTTACCTCAACATCAAGAAGCATTTCCCTCCCTGATGTTTTTTTATGTGGCAATTGTAAAAATAATACATGCAATACGTCCGAGAATTAGCAAAAAACATGCCTTTTGATAAGCGTGATAATTAATAAACATTAATCACACTGCTGGCCCGCAATTACCTGTTAATTAAAAATATGGGAGCTATTCACTTTTTTTGGATCTAGGATAAACTAGAAAAACGTCATTGTAGGGAATACTGAGAAAAGACCTTTAACCTAAAAATACATCATAGTAGGAAATATCGGGTAAATTGACCAATGGTTATTAACACCTTAAAAACATTGGAGTAAGGATTATCGGACAATAACCTTTAACATCAAAAATCATCCTTCTCTGGTGTTTTGGTATGTGATAAGTTTGCATATTCTAAAAAAGCAACAATACATCCAACGTCTTTATTTATGATTAATGTTGCCAACTTAAAGAAATAACTTCAAATATGGTGCCATGGAAGGTAATCGGAACGTTTTGTTGGCTTTTTCAGTAGCAGTGTATTCGTTCAACTACTTGCTTGTAGACATTCAAATTTAAACTACCTTTTTAATTAAAATACGTTAAAAATGACTATTAAAGATTGCCAAGTTTTATTTGTCTAACGTTTAGAACAAGTAATACTTTACCACAATCCGTGTAATGTCCAAGATGTCACATTCTCAGGAACAGGCGAACACTGTAAAAAATTAGTTTCATGTGAACGTACAATAAGCTGAAAGAAAGCTTATTTAATTTAAAACGCGGTTCTGAAATAGGTTTTTCCTTCAATTAACAAGTTGAAACCGAAAAAAAAAGAACGTCTATTTAAAACAAATTACATAATCAACTTAGATCATTTACCAGCTTTTCAAGACAAGCTTTCCCACCTCAACAATTGCACACATTGTAGATCAGAGATGTAGATTTGATTTAATTCTTCTTTTCTTGATCGTCGATAAACAATCTATTCGATTAGTGGTTTTAGAATCAACGCTTTCATCTGGATATTCTTGAGATTCAAGATAAAACTCAGAAGACAAGGGAATTTTTTTAATGTAATTAAATTGCATTTGCTATGCATAGGAAAAAGAACAACGAATACCAATTAATGCAGAAGATATTTTAAGTTACAAAATCAGACACAAAACCGTAAAATGGTGCTGGATCAAAACACAGACTCTGAGGTTCGATATTAATTTATTAGCGTCAGACTTAATTTATAGAACCGTTAGAGTAACTTACTTAGGGTTCTTTACATCATTATCGTTTACTTAATTAATTATTATAAGAAAAAAGCTATACATTGAATCGAATTTTAAGCGTTATTTAATTGTGTATTTTTGAATTGTATTGTACGTCTGCAGTAGGACTGAGTGGCAGATATATTTGACCGAAATTTTATGGATATAAAACAAAAACTATTTTAGTTTTTATTTATTTTTTTTTAGTTTTTTTTTAGTTTTTTTTTAGTTTTTTTTAAATAATAAAAAAATAGACGGAGAGATCACACCTCCTGTATAATTCAAACATCCCAAGTTAAAATTTTCGCCGTTATAGGTTTTTTACCATCGATTCAAAATTGTTTAAAAAGAATTTTAATGAATACCATACTTATCATTTGCTTAAAGTAGCCTTCTATTTATTTCCTTTAAACGATGATAAAATGTTGAAATTTGCTTATGATTGTATAGTTTTATGGTAAGTACTCTAATCATTGCTTACCAAATCTCTCTAAGATCCACCGAAACGTGGTTGTTAGCTAAACAAATGAAAACTTCTCAAATTTTGCAACCACTTCAATTTAAATAATTTTCGCTCCATACATACAAGATTTCTATGTGAAATATTTTTGATTTCTTTAGTCATCCATATTTTTTGCAGATGTTTTTTTTTGGTGGCAAGAAACATATTTTATTGCATTATTTAGGGGATTATTATTGTTTTGCCTATTTTATTATTTCGGCAATTTTATTATTTTTGGTGAACCTTTGGTAGTCCTGACTTACGGAAGCTCCTGAGCAGGAACCTGGTATCCATTCTTGCCTAAATGCATAATATGTGAATGCATCATATTCTACCAGAAGCTGTAACCTGTAAAATAAAATACAATAAAAATGAATCATTCTAGAGTAACGCCGAGACAATTGAAAATCTCTCTGAAATTTCAATGTATACGAACAATGAATGAAGGAATGGATATTGGTTGTAAAAGTCATTCATTCTAGCAATTTTGATTTAAATGAGCTGCAAAGTTTATGCGTTGATAACAGAAAATAAACAGTAAAGATTATGGTATGGCTATGCTTCTTCAGAGCAAATTTTTGAAATCCTTAAATCTCTAACATTCATTGAAACTGATTGCGTCACAATCTTTGCGTTTTAATTTACTGCAGTTTTTTAATGTTGGTCTGTCAAACTCTATTAAAAAATGCACTTAGAATCTTCTTCCATTCCGAAAACACTTAGACTGTCACTTAATACCTTCATCTAATCTTCATAAATGAAATGAATATTGTTTAGTTTAATAATACCAAAAATAAAATTTTCAGAAATCTCAATTCTTTTTCATAACAGAACCTTTATCTACACTCATGTCCATAAATTAAGGATAATGAAGTTCAGGCACAGAAAGAGACAGAAGCCAAACAAATTTGACTTATTTATAAAGTCTATGTATTAAACAAAGGGTAAAGAGCAGAAAAGATGCTATATGTTTGACATAATTAATAAAAATTGCGATTTTTACTCCCTGGAGCAAATTTTAAAAAAGAACCTATTTACAAAAAGCAGTATAACATGGTTAGTATGACGGTTAATATGGAGTATGCCTCCCGGACGATGCAATACAGGCCGTACAACGCCTAGGCATGCTGAGTATCAAATTATCAATCTGATCTTGGGGAATATTACACCACTCATCAAGCAATGCCCTCCGAAAGTCCGGTAGACAAGTGGGAGGGGGTTGACGGGCTGAAATTCGTCGGCCAAGCATATCCCACACATGCTCTATTGGATTTAAGTCCGGTGAATATGCTGGCCAATCCATACAGGTGATATCCTCCGATTGAAGGCATTCGTCTACAATGTTTTCACGGTGAGGACGGGCGTTGTTGTCCATAAACAGAAATGAAGCACCCATGGCACCCCGAAACAAACATACATGTTGCTCCAGAATGACATCCCTATAGATGTGGCCTGTCATCGTTACACTCTGAACAGGTCAAATCTGGAACCAAGAATAATTCCTTCCCAAACGAGCCATCCTGCACCACCGTAACGGTGTCGTCCAATGGTGTTGTCTTGGTGGTAACGGGTACCTGGCGCTCTCCATATGAAAGTCCGGCGAGAATCAGACTGCAAACTAAACCTGGACTCGTCGGAAAACATCACACAAGAACACTGTTGCGGTGTCCACAATGCATGCTCTCTACTCCAGGCTAATCGCAGGCGACAGTGAGTTGCGGTAAGTGGAACACATCTGACAGGCCTACGAGCATATAGACCAATGTGCCCTTAGCGTCAGTACACGGTCTGCCTTGAAACTGTCGTACTGGTAGCTGAAGAGATCTGACGTGACAGGTCTGATGCTGTGCTCCGTCTGTTTCTTTTGGCAGTAACTGCCAAATACCGGTCTTCATTTGGCGTTTTAACTCGGGGGGCGACCTGTGCTGTAGCGTCTACTCCCATTACCATCATCTTGGAATCGTTGCCAAAGCCTGGAGATGACACTCTGGGGGATTCCAAGTTCCTCGGATACTTCCAGCTGGGTACGTCCACATTCCAGTCGTCCAATGATTCTGCCACGTAAAAAATCATCCTAATGCTTCCTTTGTGCCATAACTATGCGGTTATTGCACTAAAAGGCTTTTAAAGAACTTGTGAACAATTTTACTTCTTTGCCACCATTCCTTATATACCCCTCTCTTACACTCTCGTCATTGTGACGTACTATCAGCGTCATTTAGTGGTTTCCTGTAATTTGTATATTCTTCTTCAGGATGTGTGTGATAATTCTACAGGTGAAATTTTAATTTTAGAGTTTGATTTCCGTGTGATTCTTAATTATCCTTAATTTATGGACATGAGTGTATTTAACTCTTTAATCAAGTAAATGAATGGTCAGTGAATTATTTCTATAAACTACGTGAGAGACAAAAAAAATCAAGCGATGTGGAATTAATAGACGTTACATGCGTTTAGCGTTGCATAATTCACCTAAGGAAATCATTCAACGTTTTGATTTTACAGGAAACAAAACTCTTTAGAGAATAATTAGATGCAAGATTTATTAATCTATAGGTATCAGGATTTAGGATGAGAGAAAAGTATATCTTGTTAAAATGTTCCTTCAGATGACTTGACAGGACATGAAAAATTACATTTCAGGATCTGTATCACAAGTGAAATCACGTTTTATATACGCTTGAAATTACATTTTATAAACAGCATAAAATCAACTTTTAAATATTTTAATATTTTGTACCACACTTGGACATACTTGCCCTTTTTTTATTCAATACAGTTTAACTATTGTCTAATCTTTTCAACGTAATCACTTTTACTGATCAACTTTATTTGAATCAAAATAAGTTGAAATAAAATGTTGATTAAGTACACCATTTAAAATGTTAATTAAAATTCCGATTGAATGTGATTCCAATTGATTGGCATTTCTTATTGAATTAATATTCCGAATGATCTTACTAATGGCTTAGGCTAGTTATTATTTTGACTAAAATTGATATAAAAAAAATTAATTTTTATGTCTAAAAATTTAATGTCACTCTTGATGAGTGTGATTCCGATTGAATTAATATTCCGATACCAAGTGAATTAATATTCCGAATGATCTTACTTACGGCTTGTGTTAGTTATAACTTTAATTAAAAATGTTCTAAAAATAAAAAAGATTTTTTTATATGCTTCAAAATTTAATATTGCTTTTGATGTTTCAATCATAGAAATTGATAAAAAATAAATAATGCAATGTAGAAGGTGTTCTGCAATCACCATCCTTAGCATATATTTTTAAAATCATTATGAAAGTAAAGTCAGACATGAGGATCGAAAGAAATCAAATGAGGAATTGAGAGGTTAAAATTATTTAAAATTATTTTACATGCTTAAAAATGTTGCTAGTGACAGGCGAATACAAAATAATCTTACTAGGCAAATAAACTTGTTTTTGATTATTTTTAATTTTTCTTTGTTTTTCCGAAATCCAACGATAGGCTAGAGTTTGAAAATAATATTTATTCAAACTTAATTATAAATTTGCAACTCAACAAATCAATTGAATAATAAAAAAGAATTGAAATGCCAGCAACGGTGTGAAGGAAATAATTCTATTTTGCAAAAAAGAAAAAGTAATTGATCATTCTAACAAAGTTTCATTCACTTGAATCATCGATACTCATTTCAAGGAAATTTTTAATGTATATCATTGTAATCATTATACAGTGTTGTTAAAAGAATTTTTAACAAGGTCAATACAAGTGTAAGTATTTTATTTTTACCGGCATTGTAACACGAATTAAAAAAAATAACGTTTCATTATCGCATAATTTATAGTCTAACACCGTAATTGAAAAATTAATGCTTCAAAAATTAACTAAAGTACTTATTCTATAACCAAATTATTCTGAAACTCTATTAAAATGTTTATTTATTCTAAAACTAAAATAAGCAATTGACCTAGGAAAACGAACTTTTTTATTTTTGAAGGAAACCTGATTTTTGTGTGCCATACAAACCAAATGCATTTGCAATGTATGCATTTAGTTTCCAGAAAAAAAATATTGAAATTTTTCGGAAATATTAGATAAAATTCCTTTTATTGCATACAGTTAAAGCTGCTCTTAGGTTGAAATATTTTTCAATTTAATTTGGTTTTGATCACACATATGGTTTAACAATAAATAGTTCATGAAATATTTTTAAAAACTAGAAAGCTTAGCTCCCTGTTCACTACCGCTCACTAACCCCAATGATTACTTCGCAATAATTGTTGTTTTTTAATATAAAATAGTTTTTTCTACGGAAGTCGAAATTACTTACAGGAAACGAAATTACAGTTACATGCAATAATAAGAATTCAGTTTACTTACGCTTGTGCCCCCCCCCCCAATTCACAAGTTCAATCATTTTATTGATTATTCGATTAAGATCTGTTAGTGAGCATAAATAATTTTTCTTGACAATCAGTTATAAATATAACATTAAAAAGAAAAAAGATTTATATAAAAAGATATATTGCTATTACATATTTGGTATCAGCACAATCGTCTTTTAATAATTCCGTTTACCAAACTGGCCGATATATAAAACGCAATTTGTGTATGGAGCTGATCGAATCATTTAACGAACCTCTTTAACTGCAATTATTATGCATTTTTCAATAGTTTTACCTTGTATTAAACAAAACACGTTTTTAGTAGTGCAACCCATTAAAGTACGGATATTCCAAAAATATCATTATACTACGCTGTACCTATCGAAGTAACTTTAACACCCATTAAAACTGTACAAAATATCATATTACCAGTATTACCAAAAGCATCATTGACGTCAATAACAATTTTTTCCATGACTCCTAAACGAATGAATAGTATTTCCTTATTAATTTTACTTTACAGTATAAAATAAGCATGCGTCAATAACGGCGATTTTAATACTTTTCTCCCAAATTTCTCCTCTCATTTTGCCTTTTTCGAGCATTGCCATGATCATATTATGTTCTCAAAATGAATGAAACATGGCGAAATGAACGGTTTGGCGATTTTTAAAGCTTCTCTTAAACGAATAAGTACGACTTCTTCGTTCATTTAGCTTTTTAGTTCTCAGCTAATTTTTTTTGCATAAATTAATAACTATTGGCGTAATCATCGCAGTCAATACATGTAAAGCGTTTTTTTCCCACTTTGCTTAATAACTTAGCCCCATTTCTTCATTATTTTTACTTTTTAGAACAAAGTTTTTTATTTTTATTTCAATCAGTGCAAATTGAGGCGTGCTGATTCAGAGGATAGAGCGTTCGCCTTCCAGTAGGTGAACTGGGTTCAAATTTCAGCGATCGCTGGCCGATACAAATTCCGCATCCGTTTCACACCAACCACAGTGCTAACGTGAAATATCCTCAGTGGTAGACAGATCATGGGTAAGAGTACCCTTGCCGTCAGACTAACCGTAGGAGGTTTTCCTCTGCATATAACGCAAAAGCGAGTTAGTTCCATCAATAAGTCATCCACAAAGGCAAATTTCTCCCAATATTTGATCCAGGAGTTCCATTGTCTTCTGGATTGGGTTCAAAATAACAAGGCTACGGAGTTGAACATGAGTAGTCGTAGACCCAAAAATTGGGTCAGCTGTTCAACGACGTATATAAAATATAAAAAATAAAAAGGACTGTTGGGAGCCAAGATAGCTCAGGGGATAGAACGTTTGCCTTCCAATATGGTGAACCGGGTTCGAATCCCAGAGATGGCTGGGTGATACGAATTCCGCATCTTTTTTGCACCGACCACAGAGATAAAGCTAAATATCCTCAGTGGTAGGCGGATCATAGGTTAGAGTCCCCTTGCAGGCAGGCTAACCGTGGGAGGTTCTCGTGGTTTTCCTTTCCCTGTAACACAAATGCAAATTAGTTCCATCAATAAGTCCTGCACAGAGGTAAATTTCTCCCAATACTTGGTCCAGGAGTTCCTTTATCTTCCGGATTGGGTTTTAAATGACAAGGCAACGGAATTGAACATTAGTAGTCGTAAACCTAAAATTGGATCGGATGTTGAACGACGATTATAAAACAAAATTAGTGCATATTATTAAAATTATTAAGCATCATTGGCATTAATAATAGAATGATGATTTTTTTTACGATTCTCCTAAGAGTATCAGCACTATTTTTCCATTATTTTTTATTTTCAGCAGGTAATTAATTTTTTTAAATTATAAATACCATTGATTTTAAATTATTTAGTGTTATAGAAGCACTATTTAAGCGCATAAACATAAACAAAATAAACACGTTGTTTAAGACAGCTTTTGAAATACTATAATTTGCTGATGAAATCCACATATGCTGCCACGTTTACGTTGATTATTGTATTTCATTGAACATACGGAATTAAAAATAATTAAATATGATTAATAATAATTAAACGAGCATTAAACTTTTTTTTTGATAAATGAGAGCTATAAGCTAGAAACCACTACTGACGTTGTCTTGAATATATTTTAAAAAAATAATAAATAAAAAAGTAAATAAAAAATAAATAAGAAAAAAAACAGAAACGTCTGCAGTTTAAATTTTATAAGTGGTTAATAGGCATGGAAAAAATTGAAACCAATGAAAAAATTCCATTTTTGAAACGTTGCTTGTTGAACCAGTTTTCGAAACGTTGATCTAGTTTAAATCTTTGTTGTTGTTGAGACTTTTAGTATTAGAAATTAAAATCGCCCCTTTTACTCACTATATTAAGGACAGGAGACTGTCCTGCTGGAGTTATAAAAGAGGCTAACAGACAAACTCTTCATTTTATTCTTATAGGTGAAGATATAAAATACAGATTTTTTTATTTATTTATTTCATTTTATTTTTTTCTTGATACGGTCAATGCAGAGTTTTTGCCGGTACTTCCAACTCATGATGCTGTGTGTTAAAAAAATCAATAAGCTTAAATGAGCAGTAAAAGTAAAATCCGGTATATCTTGTTTGTATCAATATTCTCAAAAAACTTTTATAATAAAAAGGAAACAACATATAATGAAAACAGAAAACTATACACACACACTTGCATCTTGTTAAAGCCATTCCCTTAATATATTATTTTATTTTTTGTAAAAAGAATTCTTAAATAAATACCAATAAAGATAAATAATAAAATTAAACTATAAATAAATATTATAATACATTTAAACTTTTAAAGTTGTTCATACCATATTATCGGCAATATCGTCAAAAATTTGAAGATCATTGCTGTGAACAATTTTTTAAATCAATAAAAATTACTTAAAGGAAGCTTTTAAAATTTGCCGAAGCTTTATTTTAGAACTCTTAACCTCATTTGCTTTTTTTTTAGACAATAGCGTAAAGGTTGTAAAGAGAATCGTCTACGCGCAACCGTAAAAATCAGCTGTGTTTGCTTAACGATTCTTATTAATGGATTAGGATCAATTGAATATATTGATCGAATATTAACGAATTCTCGTTAAACGATTATAAAAATGCTTTAAGATGACAAATTTGTGACATATTTGTTAGTTTTTAAAAACATTTCAAAATGAACACGATAATTTTTCCAACCTCGTCATTTTCACAACAAAAGTAAATGATTCTTTTTTCTTCTTTTTCTTTTGTAATTGTTATTTAGGTTAAGTACAGTTTGAGGGGAGACTATCGGATAAGTTGTGATAACTATAATTGGTTTAAAAACGCACATTCATTTTTCTTAAAAATAATATCACTAAGTTGACGATCACAGAAACATAACATTTTCTTCCTTCAATCGTTCTTTAATGTAACACTGATTTTCCTTTAACGCTCTCGTTTGGTTTTTACTATTATTGATGATTATTATTAAAACAATACTCGGTTTGGATTTGTTAGGAAAAACATGGATGTAGATAATACCGTTCAATGATACTTAACATTAAGTTTGAGAATGCCGTTTATACTAATTTTATTTATAACAGCATTCAAGAAGAAGATCACGGATAACGTCATATGCGACCCATGCCGTCGTTTATAAGCAAAATGATGGGTTAAAGTTAAGTTTCTCCGCATAAGTTAGAATGTTAATTAACGAAGTTAATTAAACATACAGCACCGTATCGCACATCGAATTTATTGAAATATAATTCTTTCGCTTCGACGCTTTTTACCTAACTTTGATTTATTATTTGTTTACACATTTTATTGTAACCGTGATAGAAAGTTTTGTAGCAACTTCGATGCATAATTAGCCTGTTTATGGTCTACATGGTTTCCTGCCTGTCTTTGTGTAAAGTGAGAAACATATAGTAAAAGAATTGAAATCTTTGTGCAGAAATATAGAATGTGTCACTTAAGAGAATTGATACTCGACGGGCTTGGCTTACTCGAAATAAAATGGAAAGTACAGTTGCGAACGTAAAAAATTGTCACTTTTTAACAACTAGTCGGGATTGAGATACGTCACTTACAGGTATCTCATTAACGGCAATTAATAATTCTAACCATACACTGAGTAAATAAAAAATGAGAAGAAACGCTTAATTCAACTACAAAAGAAATAGGGTAATATTATAGTTAAAAAAAAACTAATCGTTGTACTCATTGCATTTTAGCCTATACATTATATTTAGAAATTCTTTTTGTAACGAAGTGTCCAATCTTTAACCACCATCTCGAACGAGAATTCCAAGCTAGTCATTTTCCCCACCATCTAAAATGAAAAAATTTCCTTTTTACAAAGAATGAGGGATATCATCAATGAAAGTTTGATCCCGAGTGTCGCCTTGCTCTATATCTACTCATACCAATCTTTGAAAGTAAAATATTTGTTTAAGAAATAGCAGGAAATTTCTTTTAATACGTTTTTGTTGTCCTCTTAAATCTAAACTGTAATCTTGTTTGTATAAACTAGATCAAGTCCATGCATAAAGTTTAAATAGAGTAAAGGCTCTGAAAAAAAAGTTCAAGACACGAAACGTCTCAACCGAGACATAAGTGATAGTTTATAATTTTTTATTATTTATTTAAATGGCCAAAACTTTTTTAAATGTTAAGTGAACAAGTTTTTACTTCATTTTGAATTATACAACGTTAAATGTCCTAATGCAGGTTAGAACAAAACTTCATTAAAGTATCACTTAATATTCCAATATTTTTTTAATTAAAATATAATCTAACATTTCTCGCACCTTTAGATGTCGTAGAAAATGTATGAATTTTTAATTTTAACATTTGGTTGGTAGGTTGGTTCTAATGCCACTTGCCACACGGGCAAGCCTGCTTGGTGAAACCGAGCAGATTTAAGGCAGAGTGTTTCTTATTTTACAGTGGCGCCATCTACGGCCAAGAATTCGACTTCTGCCACACCATACGTCGCACCCGTTTATAGGACAGACCTTTTCATACATCCATTCATTCATCCATAGATCGTAATTTTGACCTGAATCAGAGAACGATCGATCTCCAATCCAGTACCCCCAAAGATATTGATTTGTTATCGGAACATGGAGGACTTTTGCGACTCGACAGATTTTACGTGCATCAGTCACTTTACTACACGAGGAGTCTTCGACCGGCGGGGTTCGAACCCACGAAATCTCGGACTTGGGCCCAGCGGCCTACCGACCAGACTATCTCGGCCTTTTTTTACATTTACTTTGTCTTTTATAGCTTCGTATGTAATTTTAATTCCGAAGAACTTTAAATATATTTGTTTTGCTTCTTTTCAAGTCACTTTCAGTAAGCTTTTGTTGAATGATCAAAGTAATATTTTATAAATTGTTTCAGTGTGTTTTTCTTATTAAAATATTTTCTCTATATTATGACTGTACAATAGCAATCCATTCCTACTAGTATTGAATTGAAAACTAAGTGTATACTTAGCATCAAAGAGTTAAAACAAAAACTTTAATTTCTTTAGAACTGTTGTGAATTCTGGTTCGAGGTAAAATGCAAATAAAGAAACACATATTTCCTAGTATTCTCAAATTGAACATTTATTTTCTGTTTTGAAACTAATTTTCATAATTACTATTGAAAAAATGAAAATATTATACTGTAAATACCATTCACTAAATATTTTTATTCGTCTTGAAATTAAATAATCCAAAATTCTCTTCCTCCGCTTTTGATTTGGAAGGATCCTTTTTGATGAATTCTATTGTCCGCCTGATGTACTTTCTGAAAAATCCATTGACCAATCAAAATGGCGGTTTCAATGACATCACAAATAGCCACTAAAGAGATCCCCAGCCAAAGTCCTAAATATCCTCCGATGTACGAAAATAGAGACACACTCTGTAATGATAAGAAATGCATTAGATACACATTGTTAAAAGCGCAAAGGTGATATTTTCTAAACCTAAATAGCGAGTCTTCAGCTCAAAAATTATTCTTCAGTTAACATCTGAAATGTACTGACAATTCCCAGGTTGAAATGTCATCATTATAAACACACTCTCTACAAAGCCGCCATAGGATGAAGCACTTTTTATTCGTATAAAAAAGTTTATCCTCTCGTGCGTCTGACTAAATAACTCACCAGTCGTTTAAAGCAGTGTTCCCCAACCTTTTTATCACCGCGGACCTGTCAACGTTCGATAATTTTACTGCGGCCCACTGGGGGGGGGCGTTGATTGTTTATATTTTAGATTATTTTGATTTATTAATTTTAATTTAATTGTATTTTAAACATGCCTTCAAAATGAAATACAGTTACACCAAAAAATAAATATAAAGTGATTTAACATTTTAACTTACTAGAACGTTAAATCAATGAGAACCCTGAGCTTTTTCTTTGCTTGAGACGGTTCCAGCTGGGGGTAATAGCAGACAATGATACATTACAAACATTAAAAAATTTATGCCACTACCTTCGGGGACCCCTTATATTTAAATAAATAAAATTTTAATGGAACACAGATATTTTCAATTTGTGGTACAAACCTAGGGATTTAAATTCAGTTTCAATGAAATGGGCGGCCCGGTACCATTTGATCCACGGACCGGTACCGGTCCGTGGACCAGGGGTTGGGGAACACTGGTTTAAAGCACTTTAGATTATTCCGAGGTTAAATAATTTTAAGAAAAGATTGTGGATTTAGCACATGTTTTGATTTGTGTAGGCAAGAGAAGTATCTAAAGCTCCTTTGAAATCAGTCTTTTCTTGATGCCATAGCAACAGACAGTCTACGGCAGCGTTTCTCAAACTTATGATTTTTAAGTACCCTTTCTAAATTTTTCGTACCGCTGTGTACCACTAATAAAAAAATGAATTTATTTTTTTTAAAAACATATTTATTTTTCTTTTTTGGTAATAAGTTTTGTTAATAAGTTTATTTGCATCAGTGAGAAGGATGATATTTTTTTTGCTGTGAAAGCAGCTGCTGCGATAAAAAAAATTGCACATAAGTTAAAAATCACAACGTTGACACCACTAATTATTGACTCTGCAAAAAATAGTCAATAGAAAAATACGTAATCGTAGATAGCTAGCTCATAACTGACTTTGTTTTCAAATGAAATTTTTTGAAATTTTTGCTGTTGCAAGATATTTCGCATAGGAACGCGCACCCCCGCTAAACTGTTTCCGTATCCCAGGGGTACGCGTACCACACTTTGGGAAACACTGGTCTACGGGATGAGTATGGACGGTACAAAACATAATCATAAACGTCATCATTTCTATCGGATTTCAGCTATTCACGGCACAGTTGCTTTTAACTATTCGGATTTTTAAAATTTGTCAGTGATTTTTAAGCTTGACACATTGATTTTCGTTTTAGCCATCACAATTGAACGAAATCACAGTTCACAGACAAAATTCGCTGTTGAACTTGCAAGCACGCCCCTTGGATAGCGCAATTTGTTTGTCACTAGGTCATTTTTTACGTAAATAGCACAACTGCGTCAAAATTTCATTCATTTGCTATTGCAAATTTAGCTATTTTTATTTCATGCACGTCAAAGCTGGATCAAAACTTTCATTTTAAATATCGACAAGTGAAGTGATTTAAAGAAACAATTGTAATACTATGCACACGTCATTTATGCTGCTGCTTTGATTATCTTAGTATATAGATACAAAATATTTCATGAATGATTACATGAAATAATTTTAAATCACCTGATATTTTTCAGAATATCTGTATTCGAGAACTTCCATTCTATTGAACGAAAAAATAATCAATGACCTGCATCTAGAAATCAAAATAATCAAAATTAAACAAGAAATTATTATAGATAAAAATAGTTAAAACTCTAGGTTACCTACTAACATTCATGGAATCGTAATTTTAAATTTTTGTTGTTATTGTTGTTGCTAATTGTTACAACGGATTTATTCATCTGGTCTGACTCCGTCAGACCAGATCAATAAATCCGTTGACATTTATGAAGTCCGAAACTAAAAGGGGAGAGGAATGAATGTCGCTCCAGTCCAGCCCTAAACAGTTCAAGATATGCTCAGGTGATGCCTGGTTTAGTTGGCATTTAGGGCAAAGAGGAAGGATCTTTTGATTAGCTGAAAATGTGAGACTTTTCAGGTGTCCACTGGCCAGTCAGGATAAGCAAGTGTTGGTCTGCCTGTCACCAGGAAAAGATAGAGAGTTCTGGTCTTTTTGCTTTATACCAGTAGTGAATAGGAGGAAGCAGCCACTTTTGTTTGTTCTGGGCCTTTTGCCTTGCGAAAAGTTCAAGGTACGTAAGCTCTGTGGTTACATACCCAGAAGTTGATTAAATTTTTAAAGGATGACAGTACAAAAAAAATATATTAACAAAAATAAGTTTTCAGAAGAAAGGAAAAGGAAAGAAAAATGATGTATCAAAATGGTCACTATGTGTTCGAAACATTTTTAAAAGATGTCTTTATATTTATATTCTATTCATCACGCAATATACTATACTCCGTTACGAGTTAAGAAAAGACCATTGCTGTATAATATTCAAGTCATCATCCGCGACTGCATATAGTTCTCTTTTATTTCGTTATCAAATAATACAAATAGGCTCTCAAAGTAATATAAAAGCCTTTAAAGTTTAACACGTTAGACAGAAATTTAATCCGTGATATCTTTTACGATATATATCATTGAATTATTAAAAAAGGCTATCGTTTCATAGTCTTACTGGAATCCTAGATTTGGAGACATATTTCGATAAATAAGGAGAACATTCGTTCTTGAAAAAAAAACATGAGGTTGCAAGAGCATTAAATTTGATTGGATAACTGAAAATGCTGGCACTCGTCTCGCTGAATGGCGCGTCTTGTACTGACATGTTCTTAACAAATCAAATGCTGAATAAAGAATTTTTACTTTTGTTTCGCTGTTTAAGAAAATCGACTGTAAGAAACAGATTTTATATTCTTTCATTAGTTTCCTTAAATTCGAACAGCAAGAATTTGTTACGATTTTTAGATATCATTTTTATTAACTGTTACTACTTATTAATTGATTATATAATTTTTTCCCCTCATTTCACACAATTTAAGAAGGCAAGAAAAAAGCGTCAAGAGTTCGTGCTGTGGCGTGACATCTATTTAGCGTGGCTCTCTTGACAGGGATAACGGTTGTTTTCTTAAATTTGCAACAGTTGCTGTAAAATTTGATTCTATTTCTCAAAAATTCTTCATTCCTTTAAAGGATACATGCGGTGCTCTGTAATGACAATATGTATTTTTCATTCTTTGTAAATGAAAATAAAAATTATTTGCACACTGGGGGCCACAAACTAACATTTCAACGAAAAAAAAAGCAATACGTAACCAAAATCTGACGAATCACTACTATTGAAGGGGGTATAAAAATCTCACTATTAGTCTAATTGTGGGAAGACATTTTCTGATGATCGCCGCCTATTTTTCTGGCAATGAAACTGGGTTTTTTATTTTCCGTTTTTCTTTTCTCTATAATAAATCGTCACAATTTTATAACATGTTTTTTTACGTATCTTAACTGCTAATATGCGATCTATATAATTTTTATTTCACTTTAGAAAATCATTTGCTTACATAAAGTTTTAAACAATATCTCTAAACATTGATCATCAAAATCAACTTTTTCAAATGAAATAAATTAAAATTTGTGGCATAAATATTTTAAAGATGAGTATGGAAATTAAAAAATAAGCCGGGCAAACAAAATGGATCCATTTTTTTAATTTGCATTTAATAAAATTTAAAAAAAAAATGTTTTACTCACTCGTCCTCTTTAGCAATTCCAAGCTGCATATAAAAGTAAACAATTAAAGGTCTTGTGATATAATATCAATACAGTGAAACTTGGACAAAGAAGGTTCGTAAATATGTTTCTACATTTATAATTTCTTTTTATGTAATATGTGTACTTTAAAATTTAATTTTTATTTGATTTTATACTTTTTTGGAATAACGAAATTTAATAAAATGTTCATTATTTGAACTTTTTAGCGAATAATCGTTTTAAATGTCTTCGCTGACCGATTGTTTTACTTTACTTCCCACACGTTTTGAAGTAACTTAAAAAAGTCGATGCAAAATGAAAACCACGTGTGGCCGATAATTTAACTTTTTGGATCATATTAAGTTTATAATAGATGTTATTCTGGATTAATTGTTAGAGGAGCATCACATGCAGGACAATAAAAGAAAAAAGTTATTTTTAAGAAAGAAAAACTGTTACACTTTCACAATTTATAAAAAACTATTTTGAATTCTGCATACATCCATAGCCTATCTACTCAATGGAACAGTATTGTTCAATACTATAAGATCAATGCAGTTCGCTGTTGCGGTTGTATAGGTCTGGAATGGTACACGCGACATACAGTAAACATATGATTTATTACACACGAGAAACGCTACATACAGCAGACACACAACTGGAACGTTTTAAAATTTTTAGGGGCAGAGAGAAAGCATATTACTTGCATATTATTAGATACAAGTCAATCAGCGACAGACTTGTCAGTTAAGCGATATCCGAAAAATGCGGACAAAATCATTTCATCTGCTTAACGGGCGAAGGGGGGGGGATCATCTGAAAATTACTTCGTAGTATTTAAGCCAATTGACAGAAAAAGAGTTCAATTTTGCTCATTACCTTCGATTTTGCAAAAGGATGTTCTTGGACGTCGACAGAAATATCTTCTCGACTGAAACACAAGAATCAAATGAATTGATTTGAAATTTCTCAAATAAAGAGCTTTTCAATATTAATTTTAAAAAAAGTTCCACTTACAAACAGGCTTGGTGACAAAAGTGGGCACATTCTTCGAATTCTTTCGCACGAATTTCTAAATGACATTAATCATTATTAGTAAACTTGAAATTTAGAATAATCAACACGCTATTCTATCTATATCCGAAAAGTATGGAAACTGATAAATAACTTCAGGAATACGATCAAAAATCTAAAAATTTAAGTGTGAAATATTTAAAAGATACAACCACACTCATCCTCTCCCAATCTTCGGCTTAGGGATAGGGTGGGGGATTCCTTACTTTTTATTGCTGATTTCAATTCTTTAGAAAAAGTGCTCTCATTTGACTTACATGTTTCTCTTTTTGGTTCACAGATAACACTGTAATAGCGGAAAGAGAAAGAGGTACAATTTTGTGAAGGGAGTTATCTCGAAAATAAATAGACGTGATGGATGTTTTCAATCTAATGGCACCAAAACTCGATTCCCACCCCCTGGGTATAACATTATATTCATTGTAATAAAATAAATCGCATCTTTAATTTCTAATCGCATTCCCTAGATTTATTGACAATTTCAATAATCTTTAGATACTTTCCTTGTATAGAATTTGCTTTTATTTTTAAGTTTCAATATTCGAATTTGGTGATTCTTTAAACGTTTCTGATGCAGTCTGTCCAGTTTGATTATTTCAAACCACTAGAAATGTTTTACTTCTGAATGTTATCAACCACAATGCTTCATAGATCTCAAGTATTCTCTGAGAATTCACGATTTACAGTCGTAGTTTCTAATTCGCTCTTTTTCTAAATTTTCAAATCAAAATTTGCTGTTCCAGATAGGATGAAGAGAACTTAATGAACAATCCCCAAAACTTCAGCAAACTGCATCATTTAAGTAAATTAATCTTTAGTAATTGAAAATTCAAAATTACATCACCGTTCTGTTCATGTCATAAAAATTTAGTGCGAGTTCTAAGACAGCAAAATTTCTAGACATGAATGACTTGCAACTGATATAGAATAATCTAAATGCGAGAACTTCATTAAAAACTTATTTTTTTCAAATATGATGGATGTTTTATTTCAATATTTTATAACATAATTACTTGGATTACAACCCAATGAAAGGAGATAAATAAAAAATTAAATAAAATATAAATAAAATCAGTAATACCTCTACACATTGGCGCCATATTTGGATATTTTACGAAGTATGAGCTCACACATCCGAAATATTCCAAAGATTTGTTAAGCCTACACTCTTCAGAGCACAACTTTGAAAATAAAAAATAATAATCAGAATGTTAAAAAAAATATTAGTATTTTCAAAATTGCTTAGTTTCTTACAAGCGAAAATTTCTGAATAGAATTCGATCCTTCTCGCTTCATTTTCTTTTCGTCTCTTGCATATATCAATCAAAAATATTGTTTGGTTATTGTCATGAAAATATAATTATTGAATTTATCCTTCACAAACTATTGCAATAAGTACAGGTTAGTGGATGCGTGAGATAGATAGCCTAAAAAAGTGAAAATTACTTTTTTAGGCTTTCTACGTATTAATTTTCCCTTTTTTAGAATTACTAAAAGAGTAAAAATTACTTCTTAACTAATTCTTAATCAAAAGATTCATAACATTGAATATACTTTTAAATTCCTCTTTTGCGATAAATTTAGAAAATTAGAAAAAGTTTTCTATATTTCATAAATTTTTATCATTATTTTTATAAGAATTATAAAGTTTCAGTTCATAATACACAGAAATGGAAAAGTCTAGTATTTTTCATTTCTGCCGGACACTTTTTAGCGAAACACTTTAATGTGGAGTCCACATAACTTTAGGATAATATAGCATTTATTGTCCAATTAATGTAATTGGATTTAAGTAGTTTACAATAAGTAAAGGGTAGTGAAAGCTTAATGTATATAGCCTAATTAATCGTTTATTGCAATAAGCCTAAATATTTAATTCATTCTAAGTATCAAAAAAGTTTTTCACCCGACTACTAGTGAAGCATATATAATAAATACAATAATTTGCTTAAAAAACAATCGTAAAAATATATAAAATATTATTAGATTGAACATAGAATGAACAATTAGAATGAGTATTGTTATATTATCAAACTTTATAAAAGTTTTGGACAGATTAAAAGGCAAAAAAGTTACTCTTTTGGTGAGAGGCGCTTTTCCAGATCGCTGTAACCACACTTTGGAATAGTTGAAGCAATCACTTGTATAGGGAGCTGGTTTTAAGTAGCTAACTTGCTGAAATTGTGTACAATCACATTAAATGTTGTGGGAAAATGCCGCATAAACAAGACATAAAGAATAAAAAAAAGGAAGTTTACAACCATCTGAATATAAATTCTTTTCGGTATTTAAAAAAATTCTAAAGATAATATACTGATAACATTAGAGACCAAACTTTTGTTGCATTTATTAGGGTGACAATTATTGAACTGAAATCATCATAACTTCTGAAAGGTTTACGTGATAAAGTTCAAACTTCGTGGTTGGTCGCAAGGCGTGATGGGAATCAGTATGCGCAAGCGTGTGCTACTTGTCAGCCATTTGCGAGTGAAAATGTCAAGGTAAATGGCTGAGAATCTGGGTTCTGCGATCGAGAAATCTCTCCACCCTAAACGGGTGACTGTGTGGTGTGCAATGTCCAGTCACGGAGTAATCGGTGCGATATTCTCTGACAGTACGGTGGCTACTGAACGATTCGCGAAAGTTTTGGAAAATGATTTCATCCCCTTTATCCAAAGTGAACCTGATTTCAACAAGATTCAGTTCATGCAAAATGGAGCTCGACCTCATCGGACAAAGGAGTGCTTGATGTTCTGAAGGAGCACTTTGGGGACTGCATTCTGGCTCTACGGCACACAGAGGCATCTGGACTCACTTGTTCAACACATTCTCCGGATCTAAACACATGTGACTCCTTTTTGTGGGGCTACATTAAGGACAATGTGTACATAAATAACCTCAAAAAAGTTTCTGAGCTTATAATTGCCTTTCAGGAGGTCATCGACAGCAACAATGTTCCGACACTTCAGTCAGAATTTCGATATTCGTCTGCGCCACAATGATGATGGCAGGCATATCGAGCATGTCATAACCTGAATTCGACTGTCTCTAGTGTCAGCCTCGATGGCTCAGGGAAAAGATAGTTCGCTTTCTAGTGAGGTAAACCGGGTTCGAATCCCGGCGATAGCTGGTCGATACAAATTCCATGGATTTGTCATAGATGGATCATGGATTAGAGTCCCCTTGCTGTCAGGCTAACAGTGGGAGGTTCTCGGGGTCTTCCTCTACATATAACGCAAATGCGAGTTGATTCCCTCAAAGAGTTCTCCACGAAGGCAAATTTCTCTCAATACTTGATCCAGGAGCTCTCTTGTCATCTAGATTGGGTTCAAAATGACAAGGCTACGTAGTTGATCCTTAGTAGTCGTAAAACCAAAAATTGTGTCGGCTGCTCAGCGACGGTTATAAAATATAAATATCTAGTATGAATAAAGTTTGTGCACTCAGTAGTTTTTAAATAATTTACGTTTTATTTCATAAACAGTGGAATCCCGATTTCGCGTTTTCTGTCGAACAAGTGTTTAAAAAGGGAAAGAAGCGGGAGAACGTAAAATCGGGGTAAAAAGAAATGTAAGTATATTTTTCCAAAAATTGAGACCTGTTAGATGATTTACTAGAAAAAAAATTTTTTAATCTCTACGAGTTTTTAATTTTTAGATACAATTTTAACAATATCCCTCTCTGTACTTACAGTTGCTTGCAAATTTGCTTTGTCGCTTACATTCGTAAATATTTAAGAGTTATTATGCTTTCGAACTCTTGATCAGATGCGGGAATATCCTGCGATATTTTTTTCTCGTCTTCATCCCTATCATTGGAGCAGGCATTAAATTAGATACTGAAGGAATTTTTTTATATTTTATAATCGTCGTTGAACAGCCGACCCAAATCTTTTGGTTTTACCACTACTAAAGTTCAACTCAGTAGCCATTCTCTTTGAACCCAATCCAGAAAACAAGGGAACTCCTGGATCAAGTATTGGAGAAATTTGCCTTCGTGGAGGACTTTTTGACGGAGCAAACCCACATTTGCGTTACATGGAGAGGAAAACCACGAAATCTTTCCATGGCTAGTCTGATGGCAAGGGGACTCTAATCCATGATCCGCCTACTACTGAGGATATTTTTACGTTAGCATAGTGGTCGGTGTTAACCGGATGCGAAATTCGTATCGACCAGCCATGCTGGGATTCGAACCCGGTTCACCTCATTGGAAGGCGAAAGCTCTATCCCTTGAGCTATCACGGCTCATATTGATGCATTGAAAATTATTGGGAAGTGTTTTGCAGTCGATATACGCATCATCCACTTTGGCAGATCTTCAGCCATGCAATTTTATTCCAAAATGCCAATTGTTCCCGTCGGATATTGAGAAGCAATTTACGTCGAGAAACTTAATAAACCTACTTGTAATTCACTTCAGTCGACAATGTCCAACACTGTCGAAATAAAATCCAGAGCTTCCAGAACATTTACTTTTGCTTTAGAAATATTTTGCGGGTTACAGGAATCAAGAAAAAGAAATAATTACCTAACCAGTAGTTCAGTTCTTCAAATGATTGGATAATTTCAAGATTCAATGATTGAAGTTTGCTGGAAAAATAACTCAACTTTTAAATTTTACAGTTTAAGCTGCCATACTTCATATAACTACCCTTTCCGTGCTTTCACTTCTGATTTTGACTCAAAGAGGAAATCGACCTCTCACGGAAATTCTGGTTCGAAATATATTATTAAATGGGATAAAAACTATGTCTTATAGAGAGAAACCGGTTACCTATTTGAAATCAGAGAATCAGAAGTATCTGAGATCCATTCAAAGAATCTCATGCAACAAGAAACAAAAAAAATTCTTTTAATGTAATTAATTATTAAAAATCCTTTTTCTTCAAAAATGTAACAATAACTTGTACTTTTTAACAAATATTAAATGGTTTGAAAAATATGAAATTAAGAATAATATGTTTTTGTTATCAGTTTTCAAGATAAAGTTTTAAAACACGCTACTGTAAACTAAAAAATTTATACTTCACAACGGAAACCCCATTGCCACGTCATCAACAACATTTATCTCTAAAAAAATTTTCATTTTTTCTAAATTTTGAATCTTGCTATCGTTTTTTTACAGTCTCTTCAGCTATTAAGAAAGATAAAAAAAATAATTTTAAGATAAAAATAATTCTCTTTTCCCTGTTAAGCCTAGTGTCACATTGCAGATGAATTTCTGTTCGTAAATGTTTCCTTCGTAAATGAAAAGTGCTTAACAATTAATTTACACAAATTAAGTTTTTTACATAACTGGAAAAATTTTCAAATATTTTTTTTTACACTTTTGCTTAGAATTAGAATTTTGAATACTTTTACTTTTTATCTTGTATAAGAATTTGCGTTTAAGTTAAGAAAGGAATATAAGTTCGATTAACCAATAGGAAAGTAGAAATAAAGAATATTTAATAAAATGAGATGAATTTTAAAGAAATGTGTCAATAAAAGTCATGCGTTCAGATAGTTTACAATTAGTTCAGCTTAGTGTAATTAATGGTTTATAGCAATAAGTCTAAGCAAGTTCAGTCTGATGGAGTATTTCTTCTAAATTATCTTAAAGTCGTATAGAATGATTGCAATATATCTATAAAATATCAGGTAGACTTTTCCAATCAGCCAACACCATTAGAATTTCAGCCTGAAATTACGGTAAAATAACCGTTTGCTGTCTATCCGTCCGATTAACCATAAAGTTCTATAGACTACATGATTGGAGGGTATCTGATGCAGTTACTGCTTCAGACCACCAACTAATTACTTTTTCTATTAAAGGCCTCTCTGGACTGAAGGTCATAAGGAGGAACCTCAGAACAGCTTATTGGAGTTCCTTTATAAAGCTCTGGGGAGAAAGATGGGGGATCTCTCCGGTAAGTACACTAATGTTAATGATATGGAGTGGACTGTTGACCAAGTGCAGCAGACCATACTCGATTCATTTCATATTTCATGTAATGCTACGTCCACTAGATCCCCAAGGCGAGTTCCTTGGAGGTTTTCTAAGCTTAGTGAATTACGTAAGAAATGTAGGAAGCTATTTAACAGAGCAGGAGATGCAGTCCTACCGAAACGCTCTAACTACCTATAACAAGGCTATCAGAGCAGTGAAATGTCGCTCTTGGCAGATTTTCTGAGATGGTATTAATACCACTTCTGCCACCGTAAGGATTGCAAAATTTCTTACAAAAGACTGCAATTGCAACTTAAATGCTATTCGACTTACAAGCGGAAAATACAGTGAATCAGGGGCAGAGGCTCTTGTAGAATTACTCAAAGCTCACTTCCCTGAATCTCATCCTGTAAAGAATGAACATCTTTACGATAATCCTACAACTACTTGTATTGAGTATGATTGGGATGCCGCCAAGATGGTGGTCTCCTATGAAAAAGTCGTATTTGCTATCAAATCCTTTAAGCCCTACAGGTCACCAGGTATGGATGACATCATCACAATAATGCTTATTCAGGGGGTGAGCATACTAGCCCCTATTCTATGTAGGATATGTTGCTGTTGCTAATCTTGGAATCGTCTAGATCCGAACACCTCCAAAAAGTCCATAAAAATATTGGAGTACCGCAAGACCTCATCTTTACCGAGCCCCAAACAAGTTAGAATATGCGCAGGGGAGGCCATGTCTGTCGAGCACCATTGACATTCAGGATAAGTTTTTTGGCCCCGGTTGAGAGTAAGGGATCTAGTGTGGCCACTCAAGAAGCGTGAAAAGGCAGTTTGATGGGCTCTCGGTATAAGATTGAAAGATTCTACCAGTTTTTTTTGCAAAATACCATGAGTGGTTGGGAGGTGTTCTTATGGTCTTGTTTAATTTCATTTTTGCCAGGGAAGAAATTTCACTAAAGGTAAGTGTAGGATATTCCGATCCTGTATAGCATTTGGGTATATACCTCATTCTTTTAGGAATACCAGGGTAATTTTCATTCCAAAACCAGGTAAGGAAAACTACTCTCAGGCTTAATTATTCGGACCAATTAGCCTTACTCCCTGTCTGTTGAAGGCTATTGAAAAGCTTATGCTCTATATGAGCTCTCCTACATGCTTGAGAAAACTATCTCAGATAAGGAGGTTGCCCTTGCGGTTTTTATTGACATTGAAGGTGCGTTTGATAAAGTCCCTGTTGAGACTATCATCAAAGCACTTGAAAACAGAAGCATAAATTCGGTAATCACCAGGTGGATAGCCAATTTTCTATCCTCCCGGTATTTTGTTCCTCCTTACTGAGTACAAGCATGAGAGTGCATGCTATCTCAGGATGCCCTCTGGAAAGGGTTTTGTCCTCTATCCTAGGGTGTATGGTTATATACTCTTTGTTAGTTCGGTTAACTGAACCTGACATTCCATGTATTGGGTATGCTGATGACGGTGTTATTGTTGTCAGAGACAAGCATGGCGAAACAGTCTCTGATATTAAGAATAGTGCACGTCTGGAAGTAACAAGATGGTGCTCTGATTCTGGCTTATCTGTTAACCCTTCCAAGATAAGT